GTATAGACTAGAATTATTACTAGCACTCTTCTTAGGACTAACTTAAAATAACAAAAGACTGTACTTATTAATAAGTACTAAGTACTATGTGTACTGTATATCACACATAGTACTTATTAACATATATATCGATATCTAATAATAAAGTGGTTGGACACAATAATACTTTGTATATAAAAAACATTAGAAGATACAAAAAAAGGTAGCAAAAAAATGAGTTTGAGGTGTAAATATTTACAGATTACGGATATGTGGGATGTGTCAGTTGGAAAAGAATAATCAATCAAAAGCCGTCATCCTTTATCCACATACAGTTTTTGATGGAATATCGGCAACACCGACAAACAATAAAATACATACGAAAAAAATATATATCATTTCTTTTTAGTTTTTACTTTGTACATTTCATTCTGATTTATTGCCATTCTGTTCGACGTCATCTGCTTCTCAACATCATGTCTAGTGGAACTAATATTAATTTATTCTTCTTAACAGAAACAGATTTATTTTGAAATAATATTTATTTGAAAGCTTAATTTTTTATTTTAAATATTTCAATTATAAATAATGTCTTAAAATGCGATGGGCACTTGATTTGCTGATGCCAATCTCACGACTACTTTGTTTTAGAATTTTTTCGGAACATTATCTATGAACATCCTGAACAGTTCTATTCGTTTCAAACTTATCCGTCGCATCGATGGATATGTATCGATGTCCCTACGATATTTTCTTTGTATTTCTACTAGAATTTCATACTTCCAATAACATTTTAAAATAAATTTTCTTTTTTCAAAATTTAATCCACTTCTTATTTTCAATTAATTATGAAAAATAATCAGAAAGTTATAATCCGTAAGAACATTATAATATTTTTTTGGCGTGTCATCTGAACTATATGGTAATATTGGTTTGTTCCAGATTTTACAGTTCCTATCGATATATAGTTATTCGTAATAATGAATGCTTTGCAATACTATACAATAATTTCGTGATATCGACGACGTATTTCGATATTGCAGTAGTAATATTAAATTTTTAAACAAGTGGCTTAATGTTACAATATTTATATTTCTATATACATGAAATTGTATGATATAATAAATACTTTACATAAAAATAATACAATATATGCATATGAAACATTGCATATGATGCATTGAACTGAAACAATACGACAGGATACTATTTTTATTTTAAACAAACATACACCAAATACCTTGTTTATTTGTTGGCTTATCACAATCTGATGGTCATTTATTAATGTTTATGCTTATGTTTTTATTGTTACTGCAGTTAGTACTTGTTATATTTCTATTTTTAGGGTTTGTGTAAAATGTAGATAAGTTGATGCGGGGGTTTGGGGAAATGCGACCCACCGGCTCTCGTGAATTATTGCCTTAATGGTGCAAAACTAAAGCCATAAAATGACGCTACGAAAATCCCCAAAAGAGTGATAATTAACAAATTTCCATAAATTTCTGCATTCATTTTCACCACCGCCTGCCGCAAAACCGTCCCCCCACGTCTAATTATCTTCCAGCGCTGTAGAAAACTCGTTGGCGGCGATGCATTTACAAAATTACGTAAATAAATTTTCCAAAATTTTTGCAGAATTAGCAAAGTTTTTTTTATTGTTAAAATAAATTAATTACTATTCTAATAATATAATATACTTATTAAGAACAAAATTATCTTTTTTTTAACACAATAACTTAACTTTCAAGTATTGGTGTATATCATTTAAAGCATTTTAAGGAACGTAAATCAATAATCACAAAATTAAATCAGATTAAATTTAGATATAATTAATGGGCTGCGGGATAAAGAAAAAGTTAAAATTACCAAGACAGCCAGTAACAATTAAAATAGTTTTTGATTATATAATGCAGTGCTTTGAAATACAAATAGAGGCGGCCAAACTTTGTATCTGTAATTAACATTGTTCCAAGGAGTTTGGAACCGATTTTCAACCAATCCAACCAATTAGTGACTGTATTTGAATACACTATATACCGATGTGTGTATGTTTGCGTAGAGTAGGAGAATTCCAATGGAATCCAAATTGCCGGCAGCTAATTCGTTTTAGTAAACCCTAACTTGAGGTTTCATAGTTTATAGATTTTGAAGGATGTTCATAATTATCATCGAAAAGGCGGCAATTAATGTTGTATTGTGTTCATGGTAAGTTCACGATTTGTGAGATGCGGAATGCAGAACACTAAATAAATTATAAATTGGATTTGTCATTCAGCGACAGGTTTCCATTAAAAATATAATTGAGTGCTTTCTTCAAGTAGTACCGTAAAAGAGAAATACGTGCTTTCTCTCCTCTCTCTCTCTCTCTCTCCTTGGTAGATGTAAGGCGAGAGGACATAAAAATTTAAATGCGGAAACGGAAATGATAATTTATGTCCGCCATCAACACTCTCCATCTTTCTCTCGCGCATATAGACTTCAATGTTTTGCACGAGTCTGGAAGGCGAAATGCACACGACGGTATATAAATCTGTTCAATTTCACGGGACCTCGCATAAAGTAAATAACAATCGATGTGCTTGGGGGGTTTAATGCAGGAAATGAGGTCTGTGGGTGGATGGGAGGTAAAACTTTATTAAAATTGTTTACGTCCTCTGTCATTTCAAATATAGACAGTTCTCATTTCCCTTTTTGCTTTTCAATTAATATCAAGTTGCAACACTGAATTACTTTTATAATCTCTTCTTTAATTTCAAATGAATTCACTGGCCTAGTTTATTTCTACCTGATTTTTATAACATCTATTTTTATTTACAATCCAGAACTAAAACAACATTTTGTAAATTCATATTATGCCATTTTAATTAAATCTATGTCGTCAGGTACAATATGAAGATAAATTTTGAAATATTGCTGCTTCATTCTTTTTTAGTATATTGGGTGGAAAAGAAATTAATTTCGGTTTTCTCAGATGTCACTTTAGAAGAAAATTGCGCGTTATGTTTTTCAGCTGAAGGTTTGTAACAAAAAATAGTTTATTTTTCACACTTAAAAACCGAACACACTTTCTTGCCGACTTGTTCATTATTGGGATCGCCTTTTCTACTTACAAATGATCGCGATCTACCGAATCTATTGAAATTAAGTTTTTTTTTTTAAATAATAATGAATGAAGGTGTGCCAAAGGATTGCGTGCACCATCGACCTAACTTTAAAGAAGACAAATTAATCGTACGTTAAGAAGTTATTTTTGTTCTTCTGAATAAATAAAGAAGTGAACACACGCATACAGAAGAACAGCTGCTTTACGTAGTCCTATTTAATATGTCAGGCTATATTATATTTGTTTGCATTTTGTTGTAGTTCATACGAATCTCACAAGCCAAAATAATAGTGAAATGCGCTTTTTCATAACTTTAAATAATTCGATAGCAGCTGTTCTTAGAGTAAAAGTACATTAATTCATAAAATAAATCTAATTATAATTGATCGTATTCGGCAAGATGTATTTAATTAATATTTTAACCTTCCCCGTCACAGGCCACGTTCCGGAATCATATAGATGGCAACCATCAAAAGGTGGAGAAACATAAAAAAAAACGAAGCGGCGGTAAAGGGTTTTCTCGAAAGTAAAAGGACGGGTGGTTGGCGGTAGTCCTTTGTAAAAGGATTCGCGCTATGCCGCAGGAAATTTAGTTAATTTTGTTGCGCACATATATAATGGCGTACTTTTCAGGTTCGTCGACGAACTGAATCAAACGGAACGGCAGGAAAAAAAATATATGAAACGTAAAGAAGAGTTCGCTGATGCACTTTAATGTAACCCATTTTACTATTACTAACAAAAGCAGATGCTGTAAGCATTCCAGAGTCTAGACAAGTTCATGAAATGAATATACATGCGAAACTGCCAGTTGAATTTGCGTTTAATGCAAAGTTCAGTTTATTATTTCATTCATTCCACTTTATAAATACACTTTAGATTGTTATGAATACAGTCTAATGGAATATACATTATTTATTTTTTGTGCATCAACCTAATAAAACGATAATCATTCGAAGGCTTTGTAATACAATTATAATCACTTTATCTAACAGTCTGAATAACTTCCCCATTGTTTTCTGAATGTATATTTATATATAAGTTAGATTAAAATACATTATGCTGTATACACAATGAGTATCATGTTATATAAATATTATCAGAAATACCAACTAAATTCAAATTAATAAACATAGAAAGGCCGTTTGAAATAGAAAAATCTTAAAAAAATACACTACAATTGTTAATTGTTTACCAACTTAATTAAATTAATATAATTATGAGAATACGATAACATTTATGAAATTCGAATTAATATTTTCAATGTATTTTGTTGCTTTTTAAGATCAGAAATTGTTTTTTCTTTCTTACATTGGTTGGTCGTCAATTTAATAGACACATGCGGTATTTTGAAATATGTTAATAGCTGTTATTTCTTTACCGTCACTTTTAACTGTGGTATTACTGCGGAGAATAATGAAAACTATATACAAGTAAATCGATTTGTTTTAGTATTTTATAATAAATTACATATATTGTATACATTATTATTGTTTTGATTTATGCATGATGAACTATAATAATTACATTAATTTAAATGGATTTTAATCCACTGAGTTGGATAGCATAAAATTAATTAGATAGAGCCCTACGAAGGGGAGTGAATATTGTCAATTTCGTATTGGATATTGGGTAATCTTCTCAACCATATTGCTGGAATAATTAGTTCAAAAGCAATATGCAATGCAACATAATTTTGAATATAAGATATGTATATTGTACAAAAATATGTGAATAAAGACCAACTTAAATACCAAGTGAATAATAATTGAAAAATAAATAATACTATCAAACAATGACTATGAATAATTTTGAAGAAGTGAAAGAAAATTTGTCAGACATGTAATTAAATTGTTATAATTTTAGAGTACAGCAGACGCACAGATAAACAGCCGGCCTTAATTATTATATAGTGGAGATGTCGGACGTAATAAGATGTGTTTTGATGCTAATAACTTAGAACTTGTTGCTAAATATGTTTCAAGTTTTCAAGATAGATGGATACATGGATGGGTCTCTGTCTGTGTATGTACGTTTATACTAGTCGGGCGAAGGCGAGGATGGGCTAGGTCCCAACTTCGTAATGTTTTAATTAATTTTCTCAATTAAGAAAAGTTTCTTTCCCGACTAAAATCCTTACCATGCGCAGTCCCTTCTAGAACCACCCGTTTAAGTCCTCCCTTCGCTTGCTCTGCTTCTGCATCTATATACCTAATACCAATCGAAGCGAAGGTGGATTGGGTTTGTACCTTTGGGCAGCATCCTACGTGAATCGATTGACCGATCGATTCGATATGGTGCTACACTAATTACAAATATATACGCGCTCAGATTATATAGAGAACCTCATAATACGTGTATTGCACTAAGTAGACTGCCTTCATCATTAATATTTAGTTAATATAATCAGTATATATAAATTTTACTATTTTATAATATAAGACATTAAAGTTTTCTACGTTACTAAAACATACCACGATTGAATTTATAATAATTATACTATTTTATATCAAAAAAATCCATATTTTTGTGTTTACTTATATTTTTTGAAGCATGAATATGTATTAAATATGTTCCATCTTCTTGTTCAGGATGGTGTTTCGCTGGAAGGTGGCAGTGGTTCAGTGTCTTCGGATGGAAATACAACAACCAGCATTTTGTCCTTCAGTCCAACAGCATCTGATCACGGCCTAATATTGACGTGCAAAGCATCAAACCAACGGATCCCGATGAGTGAACTGCGCGACACGTGGATGCTGCGAGTCCTTTATCCGCCGAAGGTCACTCTGACCCTTGGCCACGGCCTCGACGCGGATGACATTAAAGAGGGCGCCGACGTTTATTTCGAATGCCATCTGGTGGCCAACCCTTGGGTAAGCCCAGCCATATAATACAAATCGGTGAAACATCAAGAGAAATTCTATTCATTTAAATGATTAATATCGTGCAATTTATCTTATAAGTAAAATAAAATGTAATAAACCAAAACAAGGAAATAACTCACTCAATTTTTAATTTGTTTATTTTCTGCGGTTTCTTTGTCGAAAAAACAATCAAAAAACACATTGATTCTTTATATTTATAATGGTTTTTTATTTTCAATAATAGCTATAGTATTTATTTTTGATTCAATTATATATTAAGGAATTATTTAATTCAAAGCAATATCATCTATAGAAAAAAGTATGTTTTAGTTGATGAAAGAGTAATGTGCGGTTTCCATGATGACTAAATCCTGCAAGTTTGTTTGGATTATATTAAATGCAAACACATCTGTAGTTATATAACATGCGTTTAATTAATGTTCGCAATGTATCGAATATATATATACGTCATGTCATTAACACATCACCAATTTTGAAATTACCTGCAAATTATGCCTTATATTGACAAAGGGATTCTGTAAACGGAACGAAATTGCTATAATGTGCAAATTTCTGGTGTACATAATTCCTGATTGTGAAATTTGACTATGCACTACGTACAACATTTGTGAGAAAAGAACCATATGTTAAGGTTTGTATTAACCAATTACAACCAATATGACAATATTTTAATATAATTGTTACAAAACAATTACAGATGTACCTTGTTACCTACAATATTATACATCAAAATGTACTTATATTCAAACGTTAAAATATCTGTACAGATAATCTTGGTGGATATTTAGTAGACAAAAGCGAACAAACCCGGAAATTACTAATATTACAATAGTTTCATTTTTCAATTATAAAATATCCATTCTATATATTGCATTCCGATAAGTGTTTGCGGATTTAAAATATGTCGATCTGCGGATTTTTATTCAAGAATATTTCTACTTTGCTGCCAACTCAAATGCAGTATCCAATATAAAGGGAAAGACACACAAGTAGAGTTCCGTGTTATTGATGCATATTTATGCCGTTCCTTCCTGCATTTCCGGATACATTCGTACTTTTTTACTCGTCGGAGCGGGTGAAATCCCCGAAGTAAATTCCGATTGACAGTTTCGCGAGTCGTATTTATTTGTATTTTCCTTTACTGATCCACTTATATCCAAAAAAAAATACAATGTCGAATACAATCGGTAAACCAAAATGCACAAAAATACGTGGAGACAAGGAATGGGAATGGAGGAAGGTATTTAGAACATCCCATTTGCATGGGTAGTTGCGTTATCAGATATCCGATGTTATTTTTTGCACCGTAGATCTACGACGCACCGGCGCATTTCAATATTCCAACAATGGCCTACGTTATATAACATTAAAGATAACCGTTATCTGCGCTGTAGCCCCACTACACTAAAGACCAGGACACAAAACAGTGGAAGCAGTGCATCTTGCATGATTATAGCTACTACAACTTGGAACTTATACAGAAATCGATAATACGTTGCTAACGATAAATAAATGTGTAAAAAAAAATTCCGAAAGGTGAAAAACTTGCCCGTTAGCCATTTTGTTTTCCGGCAATCCATTATGAAAAAACTGGTGGTGCATTGTGAACGGAGAGAACATGCGAGATATCGAATCGAATTAAAAAGAATAATCCAGCAGCAATAGAAATGCATAAAATAGTAGTCATATACTTTTAGAAAAGTAATACAAAGGCGGTAATTGAAATTATGTTCGTTGAAAAAAAACTATATGTGAAAGGAATAAATTGATTCCCGGGAATTGTCGATCTTTGGGGGAAGGTTGGAACACCCTCGCTGTCAAGGAAAAGGACAAGAGACGCGGTTCGTAATAAACTGTCCGACCCTTATCCAAACGGAAACCACCTACAGGATGGACCAAAAAATAGAGGGATGATTTTGATAATAGCAGCTAACGCAATCCACAATTCGATACTTTAAAATTAAATTAAAGACGAAACAAGAAGCGTTCTTCCTGCACGTCACGAATGGTTTTCCCCCTCGATCAAAAAAAAATCCGAATATTGTTTACGTCCCTCGTCACGGCCTTTTTGATATGTAAATATAAATACGAAACTGAGTTTCAGTTATCAAAATGTTTTTTTCCAGTGATTTCATCAGAATATTATTAGATTTACCAACTATATTTTTTGTTAGATGAGTTATGAGATAGTTATGTATTTAAGTTTTATATATTCGTTTAGCAAACCGTATTTTCCACGAGTATTGAAAATTTTATATTGTAATTATATAACTTTTTTCATATAGTAATTATGACAATATTTAATAACAAATATGCATTTCAGACAAGATTTTGAAAATTTGCAACAACTATTAACTCGAAACTAAACTAATTCAACGAATGAACTGAAAATGCTTGTTAATTAATAAACGTAGCAGGAAGGTCGAAATTAGAACCAAAGTTTTAGTAAGTAACTTTTATTTAACAAAATTGCATTAAAATTTTAAACTACTTCATTTAGCACTCTCTTGTTTTTTTTTATAATAAAATTAATATTGTTAATATAGGAAATTATTTAATTATTTTTAAAATTTCATTTAATTAACTGAATTTAAAAAATATATTATTTCTGTCACTTGATGCGTTTATTATGGGCTTTATTTCAATCTACTAAATATTCTTAAGGGGCTTATTTCTGTTTTGATGCGAGATAAAGGTGAAATATTTGATTGTTTATGTTGTGCGAGGCAAATAAGATTTTTATTGAAACAAAGTCGCGAGTAATAACTTGTGTATGTGTATATATATGAGGATGAGGAGCATTTTTCATCTTACCGAAGTCATAAATCATTGCCGCACGTGACACACATCCAGGACTAAACAAAAGGAAAGAATAGAAAGAAAAGTTGGTCTTCTTTTGGATGAACATCAGCATGAGGCAACCATCATCTTACATTTATTATTGTCGACGTCATCCCAGGGGAAGAAGTACAAACGAAATGCAGAGGTAAAGCAAACGATAAGAAGTTGAAATATATAGATCGGCATACTTGTACATGTACATAAATGCCTATACATTATTATATACTTTGAATTAATGCTAATGGTAAAAACATAAATTCATAGAAATATGTCCACACCGAGAACAAGAAACTTGTCTTACTTGCCTTGCGTTACTTATCCAACGTTACAGAAATGATTTTTAAATAAAATACATAACTTTACACCGTATAATTTATGATTCAATGAAAATATTACAATTAATTTTGTGACACCATATATATGGAAATGACCAACATGGAATGTTGGAACTAATACATATAATAAATGTAAATAAAAAATTCAACTTTCGTAAGATAACTCGGCTATTTTAATCTAAAAATAATATATTCTATATAATTTAGTTATTTAATGATTTAAACCTGCAGAAATCATTGAATTTATAATAATAATAATGTGATATTAAAAACTGTAACATATAATATCGTAGTAACAAAATAATGAATCTAGTGTAAACTATTAACAATTAACTTTATTAACTAAATTATTTAGGACTACACACATAAAATTGTGTTTTATAAAAATACATTGCGAGGAAATAGGTATTTTTAAATTAAATCTGAAATTTTAATTTTCTGTGATATAATATAATATTAAACAATGTTATCACACACATACGCATATGTGCCAACCTTTAAATTAAAAAAGTTTAATTAAAAAATGGCTAGAAAGTTTGTATTGGATGTTTACGTATTAAAATATGTATATTGGGCGGCAGCGGTGGTCGAAATCGATACCATGCTTCATTTTCATTTTGCAGGGATACTTGAATTATGAATTTATGGATCCGTTCTGTTGGCAGGTCCTGAGGGTATGGTGGCTGAGGGATGGACAGAGGCTTCTCAGCAACGCGACATCAGGAATCATTGTCAGCAACCAAACTTTAGTGTTGCAGGTGAGTGAACTATCGAAAGAAAAATATGAGAAATAATAGAGCGAAAATTCAAAAGGATAGGGACAAGTGGTTAAAGGACCTTACATTTTGTATCGATCAACGCATTAATTTAAAAATGATTTTGAGGCAGGTTAAGTAGGGTCGTAGTGGAGGACCCCTGAATTATTCACTCAGGGAATTAAACATTCCCAAAACCAATTGCCCCAATTTATTTCTGCTCATTTTCCACCTGAATTGTTAAATGATCTCAAGTTATAAAAAAAATCCTAAAAGATTCTCGGTTGTGAATAAATATAATTATTATATTATAAATAAATTGCAATGTTCTTAAACCATTAAATTATTGCAAAGGTTCCTACAAAATTAACAATAAGTTATTTATTCAATCAATTAAAATACTTCTATCAACATAATGATTTGGTTCAAAATAGTCAGTTTCTAAGAAAGCGATTGTATTTTTTATTAATAATAGCCAATGTACACTTTTCGTTATGTTGAATTTCTGAAGTAATTTTTAATACTGTATATTATATAAACAGAAATATATTGTTCTAATATTTTATTTTTTCTAAAACAGCATTAAGTCAGATATTAGAAAACAAACGACTCATTATCTCTTTTGCTACAAATAAATCTAATAGTATCACGACTAATAACTAATTGATGAGAAGATTAAATCGAAAATGAAACCATATACAGCAGTTACAGCTGTTTCCTCGCTCATTATTTGATTTCCTCGGTTTGTTGCCAAATAACATGTATGTGTACAAGGGGGGTTCACTCCAAAAAGGGAAATACGTGATTGATGAGTTTTATGTGCGCCATCAAATCTTATGGGGATCCGCATCGGACTAATTGCAACCGACCACAAATCAATAACAAAAAAAATATCATGAAATGACGTCAACATAATTCTAAATAGATAATATCAGAAACAAACGTGAATATTTTACAGAGAACAACTAATATTGAAATTATTTATTATTCAGCTAATTAAGCACGCGTCATGAGCACAAAGCAAATAATTATCTGTTTTTTAATTTAAATAATTTAAAAAACAATACAGAGGAAACCGCAATAATAAAGTAATTTATATTACACTATAATTAAATTAAATTAAATTATTTGACAATCCTAAATATGTAAATAAATTGTCATTAATATTTTTTTCAATAAATTACAATAAGGTGAAGTGAATAAACTAATTCAGTTATTTAAATATATACGTTTTTTCTTAATCTGTTATTAAAAAAGCAATTAATAATTAAATATTATGTTGTGGGTAAGAGACAATGTAATATTATGACTTTGATTATGAACCCAATATTTCCAAGTTACATTAATTATTCTTCTAGGGCGTTAGCAGAAGTAGCAGCGGACGATATTGTTGCGAAGCGAGCAATACTGAAGGATCCTCGAGGAGTCCTCCTTTTCATCTAAAGGTAAAATTCGAGCCAATTTGCGGTGATGGAAGTGGACGCAAAGTACTCGGAGCCGCCAAAGATGAGCCTCTATCCATCGAATGCAAGGTCAGTCATGTTAAAAATAATCATTATTTTATGCATATTTATTTACAATCTATAAATAAGAATAGCATTAAGTTATTTTTTTATAAATATTATTATTATTATCAATTAAATCTATATCTGTATTACCTTACTATTATCTATTTATTCATTAACATAGTATTTTCTATGATATTTTATATATGTTGATTTAAGTACAGTTGTAGTATTATTCATAATAATCATTTATTATTTTAGCTCTTATATTTATAATCTGAAAATATCATATTTAGAAAGAGCGCAGTTATGTTTGTAGTATTTAATTTATCTTTTCGTTATTATATTGTTCTTTGTCCTATGAAAAATGCAATTTCATTTCGCTGCACAGCGAATTATAAACCTAACAAATGTATGTGCTGTTGATGAAATACCATTTATATTTACGAATGTATGTAAAACAAAGGAATTTTCTGCATCGCTGCCATTAAAGTTTTAAAGAGATTAACACAACAATTTTTGCATGTAAAAAAAAACGTGAAAGATGAAGCAACCGTAGTCAAAAATATACCTGAAGACTGCAACAGCAGTATTATAAATACCGCAAAAAGCAATCAATGAATAACAATGACCAATGGATGCATAAAAATATGCAAAAAGCTGCAGGATTTATTGGATTTTTTTTGTCCATTCTATTCATTCCAATCATCAATAGTAACAATTGTATTTTTATTAAAATGTATAAACTATAAATAACGCAGTTGCGCTTAATGGATATTAGGAACATATGTTTTCTAGAAGGGCCAAGTTGAACCTAACGTAATATTTGTGTTCTTCTGTTAAGGGCACCCTTTTCAATGAATGTGTGTCTCAAGTAGACGATTGGAATGGAATCCACAAGAAGTATGCATATATAATTTTAGAGACCGTCGCATCCGCAATTTTACAATTCTATCAAATGGTTGAACAAACTATTTCCACTCAATACTCAACGCAATATCGATCCAAGAAAACAGTTGCTGGAAAAGTGAATGGAAAAGTTATTTCATGTTCGCGAGCAATTTCCTTGCAAAAAGTTTGACTTAAATTTTGCAAATTTGCTATTAAAACAACTTAAATTGGAGTATGCATTTAGTCATCAAAAATGATGTTATACGAAGAATAACACTATGCAAATAAAACATTTGTAAACTTGTTATTCATCATCCGGTATGAAAATACAATTTTCACCTGGGATGATTGATTCGCGCCCGGGAATTCTCGCGGATGGATGAATATTCGTAGGTGCTTCTTAAAGATATGAGAAATTCGTGGATGCAAACGGAATTGTCTTCTGGTGTTCTCTACGATAATAAAACTGGGCGTGGGTTTGTAAAGAGGAAATAAATAAATTGTTTGTCGCCGTAAAATAAATGTACTCTGGATGATCTGCTTCAGTGAAAGTTTTGTCCACTTCTTCTTCCAACCGTTTCCATTGCAGTTCATCTTCTTCTACCAAAACCCCGACGATAAAGATAAAAATAGTTTAAAACTCCAATGGAAGGATGGACACGCAATTCCATCCACTCTATTCCTCTTCTTCATCCAGAAAACAATTTATTCCAAAGAAAAGGTTTACACATAAATTTCAGAGGAACATAAACATTCATATTAGATATATTTAGTTTTATTTAATATTGTATATATGTACAATATTATGAGAAGAGTTTATGAGTCCATTCTAATTATATGTTGGTAGCATATTTTAATTTAGGATTTCGTAGGTTTCTCAATTAGCCGAGGCGGAGATTTACGTGCAGGATACTATTACAGTGAGGACCTACTAATCAAGATAACTTTTGTTCTGTGCATTGCAGGTAGAGGCTGAGCCGACGGCATCTCTGTTTCGATGGAGCTTCAACAGCACGCCGGGCATTTCTAGGGATTTAACTGAATTTACGGCTGAACCTGGAGGCAGTATGTTGACGTACATTCCGAAGGTAGCTGCAGACTACGGGACTCTTCAGTGCTGGGGAAGGAACGAGCTTGGATCGCAGAGGAATCCTTGTACCTACCATATTGTTCCTGCTGGAAAACCGGACCCACCCAACGGCTGCGATCTCTTCAACGTAACCCATCACTCGGTGGTACTCACGTGCAAAAAGGGTTTCGATGGAGGAATGAAGCAGAAATTCGCACTCTTGGTGAAATCCGGAGATGGTCTTATGGCCAACCTCTCCGCCAATGTACCAGAGTTCTTGGTTTCCAACTTAGAACCGGCCCAAGATTATGCCGTCACAATATTCTCTATAAATGCAAAAGGTATTATTATTCTTAACTAACACTAGAATTTAAATATTAAATAATTTCTGAAACATTAATCATTATTATAAAAATATGTTATAAAAATACACAAATAATAGAAATATTATACAAAAAATTAACCTGAAAATTAGTAATAGGTATATTATCTACCAACATCAACTTTTATATTTTAGCTTTGATTTATTTTTAAATTGAAATTTAAATGAAATCACGTTCTTTTTGATCACACGAGTATAATTCTAAAATTTCATTCATTTCAAAATATCCAAAATGTTGTATTTGAAATGTCTCTTAATCTCAAATTTAATAAACATAAAAAACTAAGTATCAATCATGCAATATGTTATTTAGATGGGCTTAAATTTTCTCTAGAAGCAAAAGTAAGACGAACTGATCAGTCTATTACATCACATGTAATTGTTGCAAATATTGATCAATTTTAACAATTTGTTTCGAATACATAAATTAATATCCATAATAATTATATGATTTGCTTATTCTTTTAGTCATTTCTTATCAAAATTGTTGTTATACAAATAAATTAGATTGTGGTTAAAATATGAATCAAAAATTTTAAATCGTGAATCGAAAAATCTATATTTGATGTATGTTATAAAATCACACTCATAATTATTAATTTATTCGTTAATGTTTTTTTATAACAGGGTGGTCTAAAGGTTCGTCTCCGATTGTTGTCCGTACGTTGCCAGCCCCAGGTCTGAAAGAGCAGAGAAGATCGACTGGTCCTGGAATGGGGGGTGGCGATGACCGAATCGGAGGAGGTTTTAACGGTCCTTGGCTGTACATACTACTTGCGGCCGGATCAACGCTGATCGTAGCGGCGGCCGTCGGAGCAATCGTCTTCGTGATCCGCCGCTTCAAGGTGGACAGCCCGGTGCGGGAGAGACGTTGTGAACCACAGAGGAGTCCGAAGCGCGAGGAAGTACCACTAAATCCGGGGGTGTCCACATTCACGGACACCTCCGTCAGCGACGACAAGAATCCAGATCTGATTCCGCCCTCGAACGGTAGTACAAGTTGTTGCAGCGGCAACAGCATTAGCCTTAAGACACCGCATTTCTGGATTGCCGATTCCTCCTTTTTCAGAGAGCCTCCTGGAGTGCTCCTCGGCACCGTACACGATCACGGCCCGTCCCAGTTCGAAGAGGAATAGTGCTACCCAAATGCCCGTGAAGCCGTACCACGTCACCTGGGCTCCAATACTTCAGTCGCGCAACTGTGCCACCCAAACGCCACCCCCGCACAAAGAGAGCTCCGTCTAATTAATCAGCGGCTCCGGGACCAAAACCACCTGTGATACTTGTGAATATTATAAATATAAAAACCATATATGTCTACATATATATATATATAATATGTATATACATATACATGTATTATGTATATATATATTGAATATATGTTTGTGTATTACCTAAATAAATATATACATGATAGCATATTGTAACATTGTCAAGAAAAATATTAAAAATGAACTTGGAAGAAAAATGAAGGTAAAAAGAAAACAGGAAAAGTTATAGTAATAAGCTGTTAGTATTACACTATTATTATGTCATCGTGTATAAATATCACGTGTGTGTGTGTATGTGTGTAAATATAAGTATATTTATCACGTCATCAAAATAAACCCCTTATACATAAATATGCATACAATATTAGTATTAAATGAAAGATACACGTCCTTCTAAGGACAACGTGTCGCTAACGAATTATTTTTATGTTGTTATCTCTTGAATGTTACGATATATATATATACATACATATATGTATACATATACATATAAATATATATTTTTTTTTTATTTATATTTTGAAACCTCCCCATATTATATAAGTTTTTCTGTTGTTATGTCTTTATTAAAAATATTAAAGTTTATTAATTAAAGTGTGCAGTTTTTTAATATTTCTATCTTACAATTGACAATTTATGAAGGGTTGCAAATTTATATATTTAGTTACTACTAATTCTTGCTTTGCGTTGGACATTCATTATCCACCTACTTAAAATAATTTTATATATATTAATCTGCCCTTACAATTCTCCTCTACAATTAAATGCCCAGTTATTCGGTAATACCGGCCCTCTACTAAATATGTACAAACAGGACTCCCTTTAACATGTCTGTCCAAAGAATTCTACAGTCTACAATATTGCGAATTTTTAAAGCAAAATATTATTTGTATTATGTGTATCCACTGATAATCCACCACAAAATGACTTTACGTTATGCAATCTTTTAAAGTGCGAACTGTGGCAAGAGGAAAAGGCGCAAATGAACAAATATATTAAAATAAACATTAAAATTGCGATTTGTAAACACTATCGGTGTTGATAAGTAATCTAATCTCTGCGACAAATATAATAAGCATTTTGTGATTCAGTATTGCTATTTCCGTAATGCGTTCGACGCAAGAAGATGTCTAGACCGTCGTTCCAAGTTCTCGTTTTCCTCCTGCTCTCGACGTTTGTGAGCCCTGACCTAGTGCTGCTACGAACCAATAACGGTACGTTGTGCGTTGCCTCCGGCAAGGAAACTCTGCGATGGGCGATACATTCCAAATCCACCTCGAAACAAAGCGGTATAAACGTCGGAACTTATTTCCATCGATATTCTAAATTTGGATTTTTGTAATTTCAATTAGAGTACTTGTTTGCTCCATCGCGAACTATAGATCTAACAAACTTTAAGACGAAGATCCTGAAGACGAACGCAAAAACCAGGCTACCGATGGTGCTGGATCATCGATGGGAATGTAAGCATGAAAAGAAGAAAAAGTAAAGCATTAACTTAAGAAACAGTTTTGAAAACGTTCCATGAAAACGTGTCTATACCGAAAGAGGATTGGAACGTCCTCCATTTCTCGATGATGTCTGACCCAGTCAACGTCAGTCCGCTGCGAATTGTGGAAAAGGGCAGAGTATTTAATATCACCTTGAGTCA